AAAAAAAAAAAAAAGAGAGAGAAAATTAAGGGCTAGAAGTTTTACCTTTCCTAGGTAAACAGTTAAACACCTTGCCAAAATGGCTCATGACATATTTTTTAAAGGGCTACTCTCACTAGAAATCATGTGGGTTTTTGTTAGTATAGTATTGGTTTTGTTGTATAGTTTTGGTAAACTATAAAACAAACAATCAAACAAAATTAACATCTGGTATTGGTGAGATTGTGGGAAAATGGGCACCCGCAAATTAATACAACGTAGGTAAAAGATTCAAATTTGAAAATTTGAAAATGGATTAGTAACTGTTTATATTCTGACCCAAATTTTTATGTGTAGAAATTTATAATAAGAAATAATCAAAGTCATGCCTAAAGATTTATGTGTACAGATCTTTGTTAAAAGATTGATCATAATAGTGAAAAAGGAAACACTTAAATGTCCAACAGTGGGACATGGTTGAACAAATTATGGTTTGGCCTTAAAGAACATAGAGTAAAATATTATGCAGAAATTTACTGTATAATAAGCAATGAAAAACATTCTAAATATTTTATGTAAAAAATGTTATAAAATAACTTATATAGTTTGATTCTATTTAAAAATAGATATGGATAACTTTTATATATGCATACAAATATCTAGGAGGATATAACATATATTAACTAACTTTATTCAAGAATGGGTGGTTTAAGGGTGATTCTAACATTCTTTTAGTTCATTTGAATTTTCTAAAAATATGTAGACAATATTTTCTTTTTTTTAATATAAAAAGATCAATGAAAAATTTATTTGTAAATTTTTTATGCTAGGCTACAAGTCTATATCGTATACTCAGGAATGTGCTGCACAGACTTTATCCAGTTAGAAGTGATCATACTATGAGCCACACACAGCTTTGATATAAGCCTAGAAAGTCTTAACATTAATTAACATAATTACAAAGGTATTTGCATCTAGGAAAAAATATACAGAACTCTGTGTGGAGCAATCTGTGCCTCAGTTTCAATGTCTGCTTTAGACAATATTTTCAACAGAAAAAGTTGCCTCTTGCTGAGAGACTGTGGTAGTCTCAACACTTACTCTCTTCTTGGTTCCTCTGCCCACGCTGATGCTCTGAATGAAGAACAGAAACAAGGTGAGTCATAAGCAAACTGACATGGAAATATCATGAATGGTTACATGGAGGCTTCCACCCAGGAACCTCATAGACAAAGTACATTGAGCTTTCCCAAGTCTCAGAGATAGTCTCCATGGCTTTCTAAATGGTAACATGTTCTTTTTAGCCCAGCCAAAGTGGTCCTCTATCTGAGGCAGTCAAGTTTCAGCATCAATGGGACTGACCCATTGTCAGAGCAACCAAGTAACACAGGGAATTTCTTAGCAACTACTCCAACAAATATTTTTAAAGCTTATTCTATGCATTCAGCCCTGCTCTAGGTGATAAGGAGATTTCAAAGGCAAATTATATTCATAAACACTTGTTTGGAATAAATATACACTCTTTTTTTTTTTTTTTTT